ATTTAATCAATTTCGGCTTTGCCTTTTCTCTAAAAACAAAGGGCCTTGGACATTGTCAAAAATTGTCAGGCAAAAAAAAAAAATTGAGGTACCCACCATGGGAAAAATTCCCTTAAAAAAGTAGTTTCCGGTCATTGAAAAAGTGTGGAAATCAATATTTTGGAAAAAATTTTCACTGTTTTAAAATTTATCAAATTGATAATTTTTCACGGATAAATTTCAGTAATCCACTGCAAATCATAAAAAAAACCCATTTAATAAAATCAATATTAACACTTGTTGAAATTTTAACACTTTGTCGGGGACGTCATTGCGTTTATATACAAGGGGCATAGGCTGTAAACAGCGCTCCTAAAAGTTAAGCGTTTTCACAACAGGTACGGTTCAATTAAAAAATGGGACTCTTTTAAACTGTAAAATGGGTCGGTTTCTTATTCTAAGGGAAAGGTGAAAATAAAGAAAATCATGTTCGTGGATTTAATTCACTTCTAAAATGTATTTAAAACTGTTAAATAAAAAAAAACCACCTATTATTTTATAAAAACCTTCAATAAATTAAGTATTAACATTAACACCACTTGCTCATTTAATATTCTCTATCTATTTCTATAAGGACTCCATAGTGGTCGGAGTTTAAACAGGGTTTCTGAAGAAACCGGGGTTTAACATTCACAAGTGTTGTTGAGTAACTTTGAGGAATAATAAAAACCATATTTTTCTTAAAAGTTTGTAGGCAAGCAATATCGGGTAAAGTTATGGCAAAACAATAATTCTTATTCAATGTTTTATTCTAAACACATATTTGATGTTAATACAAAATCATTAATATGCAGATTCACATGGAAATAAAGCTTCAAATACGTTTACTAGTACTTGTTTATATCAGTACAGTGGAGAAAAGGAATAAGTCAAGCAGTAGTCGATATCAGTCAAAAGTGAATGCAAAAAGCCTTTCCATTAGCTCTGTGGATAGCTTTCTCACATATAAGAATCTAAAATATCTGGCATGAACTCACAGAAGTTGGGACAAAAGCATTTTTTTTGTTCAGGGAGGACAATTATACCATAAATTTATAATTATGTCTAACGACATTCATTTATGTTGTGGCATCGCTAACTGTTGTCATAGCTGTCAAAGCGACATAAACAAGTAGTAACAAAATCAATAAACGTTTTCTACTTTCCTACTTTGACTTAAATTAAAATACATTCATCATTACCCGTTCAAAAAAACGTCTATAGGGTCCAATAAAAGAAATCCCCTGCATTCCAACAGTCAATCGCAGAGATTAATTCACCTACTATGTACCACCAGATATATCTCCATTTTATTCGATGGTATTTAGGTTGATAAAAATGTGTCCATCGCATCTTTTGACTTTTCTTACATTGTAATTTACAATTTCAGCTCAGAAGGAAGACATACGTTAAAGCCTTGAAATACCTTAATATACTTAATACTTAATATAATGTCTTATTTTCTCTTTCTGATAGTTTAGTAGAATCGAAAATACGCTATTAACATAATTTACACATTTATTTATATATTTTTAAAACATGAAATATAATTAGATTGCTAGAATGTGTTTATAAATAATTAAGCAGATTTTTCCGTAAGAGTTTTATATGTACATTGGCACGGATAATCTTATTTAATGTTCTGTCTTCAGCTCAACACAGTTAGGTTATATTGCGACTTTCAAGTTTCATTGTGGAATGGAGACCACAGGTGCCCCTCCGTGCATTATATCAGGCAGGAGTGGGCACTCTCGAGTAAAACAACCTACGTTCAGTTAGCTTACTTGATGATGTTCTCAAATTAAGACTACAAAATCCCTGGCAGGATCCGGACCTACAACGGTGAGTAGGATTGTCTTGATTTAAGTGAAACTATAATAAAATACACTATAAAAATCTCAAGCTCTCCATTTGTTTTTTTGTTTAAAAATTGTATCGAAAAATATATATATACTCACATTTTATTATTAACACTAACCAACTACCTATGGACTTGGTTCATTTAGTCCGATGTCCAATTTCTAGTCAACTTCTTGTCCTCTTTTGCGCTATTCGGCTAGATTATTTTGGGTTTGTATCACGTTGATACTTTATCCCTTTGTCTAAAAACGTCCATTCGGTTGTCCGAAGCAGGAAATTGCCCGTCGTATTCAACATGAGAACAAAACGTTTAGCTTCTTATGGACGTACATGTACATGGTCATGCTGAACATTAAATAAGATATTTTAACATTGTTTGATGTTAACAAATTATCGAAGATATCTGCCTCTATTTAAACATTGTCTTATTTATAGAAGGAAATACTCTCCATTAAGCATTATAAAAGAACGTGCAGTCAATATGACCATCACGGACATTGCTAATGAATCTCAAATAAAGAGAAAATGGACATCAACTGAGCAATTCAGTGAACGATAATTTTCTATAAATCAATATAAAGAACAACGAGTCGAACATTGGCAAACCTCGGAAAACGCACCGTCGTATAATATACAAAGCGCATGTTTTTACAATGTTGAAATAAGAAAATTTGAAATTTCGTTTCATTTTCATAGAGTAGTATTTTGCATAAAAATATAATCGTCTATTTGTCGGATAATGGTATTTGTTGTGATCAAAGAAGTCATAAACAGACTTAATGCGTTCGAAGGATCACTTTTTTCAATAAAATATATACATCACAACAGCAGGTGTCAAGTTCTGTGTGGCAGCTGTAAAAAGTACTTCACTTCAGTGTTCTTATATTTTTCTGGTTCTTCGGGATCATTGAGTCGAGCAATTTAAAGTATTGAGAAATGAGTACTGTTCTAGCCAGTGCTAGTGGTCGTGAAGGATGTTGCACTTTTTCATTATCCCCCATGTGCAAACTCAATCAAACCGAGTCTGCAATTTTCATGTAATTTTGCTGTTTTAATGCTTCAGGGGAATAACTTTTTTCCAGATACTCGGCTATTATTTGGAGTTGAAGTTCGTTTGAGAAGCAAACTGTATACTGCAATAACTAAAGTAAGCAAACATGTGCATATTTAGAAAAAATAATAAATTGATGCATATTTTAGTTATAACCTCTAAACTGTAATAATTTGAATGGGTTATACACACAATAAAAGGACAACAACATTTCGTCATTTGTTGCCAAATTTATTTCAATTTGCCTATTTATTAGGCCAGTACAGATATGTCAAACAAAATATAGGTTTGTGTCACAAATGGTTTACGACTGAATGCTGTGATGAACGATATGAGAACCGTTATTTCTTTTAACATTGAAATAAAACAAAATGACGTTTGTTATGTAATAAAACAAGAATTATTAAAGATTATGACATTTTAAAACAATCATTTTTCAAGAAAAAAGATTTATATTTCATAAATGCATCAGTCGCCGATAAATATATCTTACATTATTTTATGAATTAGCATTATGATAAGTTTTATGTTATTCCTACTGAATTAATAAATGAGAAACTCAATACTTATTATTTTCACCTACCCCTTACGAAATGATTCATATCAAATTTCGTACAATAAGTATTACAATGTTATGAAATTGAAACATTTTATTATGAAAGGAAATATACATGCACACACTATAATTATTTTAACATACTGATAAACGAGATAACAAAAAGAGTAACATGATATTTATTTTAAAACTTTATCTCTTCTTACAGTAGTACGCTTTATTATTAAGAAAGCATTATATACTTTCACAATAATCGAAAAGTTTTAGTGATAAGAATGTTTCCAGGGTATTTAATTACCGGTATTTGTCTAAATTAGACATAGTAAGACGAGGGCTTTTCCACGAAGGCGTGCATAATCATTATATAACACAAATATAACATCCGGGCTTAAAAAGATGTTGCACAAATGTATCTCAATCTATTTGAAGAAACATAAATAAGAATTATTTAATATGCAGTTATAAGAATTATTATTTCAAACAATATTCATACACTAAATATTAAAGGATTAACACGAACCCGGGGTATGCATTTCGGCTCACGTCAACCAGCGACATTTTACAAAACTTACAACATGGTAAGTGGTCAATAACGTAAAAAATCCCAATGTTATGACTGAAAGACATAACTGCAAGACAATCGCTAATTTGTTCAAAGTTATTTTTCTGCTTCACAATTTGATAGTATAAGCGATATTAAAGAAATGCGGGTTGCATTTCGTTTCCAGGAAGTCTTATGTGTTCACACATGTACACTCAACAATAGTGTATTAAATACTTGTAAAAATCTGAAAGAAGCCCGATAAGCATTTGGTCCGTAACCGTTGTTTTTCATCACTTATTTGGACAGCCCTCGCACAGTTTTGTACACGTGTTGTTATAGCCAAACCATATGGTTAAGGATAAACACTTCTTAACTTACTAAAATTTCATATTGATCAAGGAAATGGTTGCGCTGTGTATTCTACATCAATTTATAAATACTTGTTCCTAAAGTTCAGAATTGAGTAAATATATTAAGTGGTAAGTCATTTAAATGACGTAATGCCCTGACAATTAATGGCTTGAAAATGTAGCAGTAAAATGGTCAATATATCACAGAATATAAACACTATAATGGTGTAAACTGACAACCTAAGAACACATACATTACTTAATAAAAGTGCATAAAGTGAACATGCTATGTATGACATTGTGTATGAAAAAAAGAACAATACAATCAATCAATCAGATATACAAAATCATCATACGCAAAAGGGTCATTAGAATTATTTACACTTATAATAATACAAAATTACATTCAGAAAGATTAATATACATACACAGTATTTACAGTCATGCACTTAAAACACTGACGTCACAATCCTTGAACATGTAGTTAATAAAATCAACAGTATCACATTCAATACAATACGTTATATATTTGTATTGGCGACACTTTTATCGAGCTCTCAAATATTCGGACATGGACCAAACCCAAGCATTAATAGTATATGAATAATAAAAATGCAAACATCTCAAATATTTAATAAATGATAAGATATTACCAAATCGGATGTGTGTTTTTTTCTCCCGAAAATAGGTAAGTAACTAAAATATCTATTATGTGTTTTGTTAAAGGAGTCTGAAACTGTTTAAGACGGAAACAACTCTCCCCCCCCCCACCTCCTTATAATTCATTGTTTCTTAATTTCTTAATTGTGTTTCACAAATTGTCAGGCATAACAGTTTTTTTTCCTTTTGTTCTGCTACTAATATTTCAAGTCTTTTTCCAATCTTTGTTACGCGTCGTCAGTTAAATAGGATTTTCTAAAACCTCCTCCCATTGCTTTACACACTAGTTAGATATAAATATCGCAATAAATAATTTTAACAGGAAAATATTTCCGGAACTGTAAATGCTTTAATTTAAGAAGAACATTACTTAAATTTAGGGCGATAAACTGAAGTCTGGTAATTTATTTATTAGGTTTAATAATATTTACAAGAAACAACAGACAAAATGTAAATAGTACATAGAATCACACAATTGGTTGGCGAAATATCATGCATGACAAACACTGATTATTCCATGCCTTTACAGGAAACTCTCCCTCTCTTTGTCTGTCACCCGTGCATGCTTCTCCTACAAATATATAAATAGAAACATCTGGACAAATGTTGAGAAATTTATTAAACGATTTTGAAAACTTTGTTCATGCATTTAAGGAATTTACTGTAAGAAACTCATGCAAAAAATAGGTATTTGACATGCAGTTTATAAGTAATGTAAAAAAGTATGAACATTATATTATGAAAGGACTGAATCCGTTTTTAACAATGTTCACGATAATAAATGAAGAAAATATGATAAAAATGTATCATCTGTAAGATAACTTTTAATCGAGATAACACTTGGAAATAATATTTATTGAAATATATTAAGCTGCACTGGTGTGCTTCCCTAAATGATCTCTAAAATAGGATTGTCTTCGTATGGCCTTATGGGATATATATTGAATCAAATAAATATAAATGTTATAAATAATACAATTGTTTGCTAGCATAAATGTCTATAAAAGTCAAATATATTGCTGCAGTAAATATTGCCTTGAAGAAACCAGGTGTAATAAATTTTCAATTAACAATACGTAATGTCAACAGCTATTTTGCATAATGTATAAACACATATAAAAACAGAATCAGAAGTATATATCTATATCCCAGATAAATCATGAAAAAATGATTATAACATCATATAGTATAGTGTATTTATATCATAAAAGTATGTAATAATGTTATGGCGGAGGGGTTCTATTTTGTTCATCAGTGGACATTGTCCGGCCAATGTTTTGAAGAATATCCATCGCAACAAGCGAACCTCTCACTAAAGCCCTCTGAAATATGAAATATCATGTCAGTTTGTTTCACATCAAAGAAAACATTGAGTATGTACAACGATCTGTTATTTGTGTAAACTTAATTCATTTTGAAAGCGCACTACTCACATTATAATGTTAACGTCACATCACTAATTTTTATAAAGCCGAACACAAACAAATTATAAACTAATCTCGCGTTGTTTACGTTAAAAGTAGGATAAACCAAAGAAATGCAAGTTTATTTCACTCTTAAAACTTACGTTTAGTAATTTAAACAACAAACAACGGACGCAAACAAATTATAAACTTATCTCGTGTTTTTAACTTTTCGATACCTAAGATCAATAGAAATTCAATACACGTACGTGTCCCTTTTAATATTTTTTTTTCTACTGCTCACGTTTTCGTTACTGATTGAAATTACTTTTTTCACATAATTTTTCACATAAAGATAAAGAAATGAAATCATAATTTCATGATAGCGGATTTAATGTTTTGTTAGTTTAAGTTATCTACGAAAACTGCAAACATAACACATTTTAAGTAAAACTTTTATCTAACATGAACACTGGTTACTCTCGCATGCTACTATGTTAATAAGTTTAGAGATGTTTTCTATGTGAATCTCAACTAGATCACACGAGGCTGTGCAATAAACTTACATTGCCTGTTTCTATTCTTAGCCTGTATCAAAATTAAACCCTTATCATTTTATAAATTTAAAGAAACGACGTTTTTCTTCTTCTTCTTGCACACAAGAAAAGACAATAACAAATGACACAACAAATACTGTTTATTGAATAATTTCTGATTACGCACACTTTTTAACTAAATAAGTATGACATTTTATTTAATGCGTACTTTCTGGAATAGCGTTATAATATTATACATTGTGATCGCAAATAAATAAACGAAAACGCAATGTGTTCTCACTAATTGATTGTGATTAACTACATATAGTGATACAACAAAAAGTTCATGAACTTAAAAGGAATAATTGACGACCAGTCGCTGCAACACAAATCAACCAAAACATGTATTTCCTTAGGGCAACATTATTATTTGCCAGGAGATTATAAACGATTATTACATCATGTAAGCATGATTAGCCAGATGCTTTGAACACTGTTTTATATGCCTAATAAAATTGGGTGTAAAATCATTTAATCCTTACGTTAAATGCATATTTCATCCCAGTAAATCTAAACAGAATCATTTGCATTTTAGTTTTGCATTTAAATAGGTTGCTTTACTCAAGCACAATCAATCTTATCTGCAATATGTAAAATTGCAAGAGCAGTTTATACATTAAAGTTTTTTTTATATTTCCAAGTGAGAAACCTTACATGTGAATATTGTAAAAACAATTTGATAATGATTTACCTTTTTGACACTGTTTGAAATTTGTTTGGCAAAATATTCACCAAGGCACACGACAGCAGCAACAGCAACTCCTCCCACGAGAATAAAGAACACCCCAGCAACATTATCAATCTGCAGTTCTGACGTCTCATCTGTTGAAGGTTTACCATGATCAGGACAATTTCGTCTACCCCACCACCTTCAAAGTGACAATGTAAGATAAATGTCGAAAACATGTCAAATCGACAAATTATATATGAGCAGCAATTCAGATTTATATCATGTCATAAATCTATCTTTTTATATTTTTCTTTACAATAAGTCAATACATTGAAGGATAAACAGCGTTAAAACACCAAAATGCATTGCCTTAATTGTTTATTTCGATAAGCATTGATAAGCAAGAAATAATACATTGTATTATTACGCATTTGTTAATTTATATTACCTGTTTTCTAGCTCGTGAAGCCTGCCAATATCACTAAGTTTTAGAATCGCCATTGACAACTCTTCTCTATACGTTGCACCAGGTGGAACACCAATCCCAAAACCTTTAGGATCAAATGGTGGTCCAACTTCCATGAAATCACAGTTTTCGATGGTCTTGTATTTATTGACAGTTGTATCCCAGAAAAATGCATAAAGTTCTTCCTTCACTTTCTTAAAACCCTCTTCTGTTGACTTAACCATAGAAGAAGGCTCGATCTCTGACATTTGTGCCCACATTTTGGAAAAGTGTTCAATGTCGGTGTTTTTAAAGAATGACATAATACCACTACTTTGGACTGTTCCATATTTAATCTTAGTTTGTGATGCTAAGTCAGTTACGGTTTTTATGGGTGTATTAATTTTCTTAACAGTCAAAAATGCAGCTAGATTAGCGGTATAAGACGATATAAGAATAAGCGCGAAAAACCACCAGGATGATGTAAGAATTCTTCCTGGTAATGTAGATGGTGATGAATCAGTACTTCCTTGTAGTAAAGAGCCAAATACAAACCAAAAGCTCTCTTTGAAACTAATTGATGGACACTCTTTCCTGTCTAAAGTCCCAATACGTTCAAGAATATATAAAACTATACTAACAAATACAAAGGCACCGAGGGTACAAAACCAGACTGTTGGGTGGAGAGGATTAAGGAATTCAAAATAAGATGTCTCGGATCGTGGCACTTTCATTAACACACTTATATATCTTGTCATAAATGGTTTTGTGAAGTCAACAGCTGCCTCACGTTCAGAGTTTATACTTAATGGTGCTACAGACATCGTGGCATTCTGGAAGCAACACATAATAGGGTTATTCCTACAACTATAAAGTTACGTTTAAAATCTATTCTAAGAAAGTTTCATGACATCAATGCTATCAATTACATGACATAATATAACGAAACATTTATTATAATTATATATAAATTAACATCACGTGACGTTATTTCTAGATAAAAAATTAATGTTATTTTGTTACCATGCTAATATAATTTTACCTATCATTAATACCGATGTAACTAAATAAAGCCAAAAGAAATTGTAATTGTATGTATTATTAACTTAACTTATAAATACACATAATTTATTTCAAAAATCATCGCCATTAATGCGTACAATTGCAAAATGTGTTAATCTGGAGCATGTTTTGATATGATAATGTATTTTATTATCAATGCTGAAAATATATCTGACGATAAGTTTTAATGTCTAATAATGATAATCAATAATGCCTCGAAATGTAAAATATCTATTTAAATTTTTTATATGTATATATAAACAATTAATATATTGATATATTTATAATTTTATTAAATATACTAGTCAATAAGTTAAACATGCTTTATAAGAGAAGCACGTGAATAATCTATATAATTTCATACCGAAATACGATTCATTATTACAGCGTTTTCTCAACTTTACTTACACCCTGTAGAAGTTCTCCAATCATGCCATTCCAACTTCCGTCGGGCATTTTTGATCCAAAATTTCCGTCATGAACGAGATAGATTTCATAATCAAACTTTAACATTGTAGCCACCTCATGAATCAAATCTACGGCAAAACCTTCAAATCTATCATTACCCTTCCGCACTTTGTGATCTCTTTTGTACATGCAGAACGGCTTTTCCTAGAAATAATTGAAAACGTAATTAAATGTCGGAATAATGGTAAACTTAATCTAAATCTAGACAATAAGCTTTGATTGTCAACAAAAATGAACGGATAGAAATGTTAGCTGCTGGCATAATTGTGTATAACAATTTTGTGCCTAGGGATTCAATATAAAAACACAATTTCGCATTTAATCATTCACTCATTTTATTACAAATTACAGCCTTTAGTTATGAACCTAATAACTTCCGAGTTTGATTACCAATGTAATCTCATTTTATGTTCCCCTTATTAAAGGTTAAACCGATCAGTCAACAGATTGTTAAAGCAGTTATTTAAAACAGTTTAACTGCTTGCATTATAAAATCTGTGTTAGGAACATGTATCAAAATGTTCTGTTTCGAAGTTTTACAGTCTAGCAATATGCAGTAACTTTCATGTACGAAATATGCTTTAGAAAGCAAAGCCGAGAAATTTGCAAAATGTTTCCATGTTCATGTATATATTGTGCTTTAGAATAAATATATTCAACATATGTGTTGGTAAGATGACCGTAACGATGAAGTATATTCTTATAAGTAAATAACGGAAATAAAAACAAAGTCTTCTGTTTATCTATCAATAAAGTAATAACTACCAAAACAAAAAAGGCCAGGCACAAACATTCAATTTTATTTTGATAATAAAAGTTTCAAAATATTTATTTTGTTTGTTTGTGTAATATTCATTAAAATTCATTTACTTAAAATATAGTAATTATATCAGAAGTATACTTTTACATCCCAGCTTAATGCATTGAAACGTTTTGAAAAGTAAATACTTGTATGATGTTTAAAAGGCCTGTTTAAATAAAGCGCATCATACTTTATGACCGGATATACCAAGATATCAATATGAATAATACAAACTCTTTAAATACATAAAAATAGTAATTTAGTACGTGAGACTTACCAATATTGTAACAACCCTTGCTGTTCTTCCAACTAATGGGAACGGATGAGAAATATTACCAAAACCAAATCTTTTTGAGATCTGTAAACGGTTGTCAAACAAGCTCACATTCGAGTACCACATGCCTATCTGTAAATATAATCGTTAAAATAAATAATGAATAATGTATAAATTTGAATTAAAAACAAAATAAAGAAAAAAATGTTATATATAAATAAATCAACCTCTCTGATTAAAGGCATAAATAATCGTTCTCATATACATGTAGCTGATAATGTCTGTATGATTCATTTTTTTTCTTCAAAAAAGTGAGAACAATGTAAAAGCAGCATGCCTCCAGATTCATATCATTGTATATGAAAGTTTTGTAAATGTATTTTAAGATAACATATTGTATAGTGAATAAAGTAATAAACCCATAGCGAACGGTATTTACAATCCATGTGAATTATCAAAAATAGGTCAAAATACGAAAATGGAGCTCTAACTGCGTAAGTCACGCAAAAGAAAATTTGGTGATACATTCTGCAAATCAGTCATTAATAGCACAAAACATTTACATTGTAAATAATTACTTGAACCTTGAATATGTTTTAATTCTCTTGCAATCTTAGTTCATGTTTCTTTAAGTTTGATTTGCCTGAAATGGTTTTGCTCATCTGAAGGCATGCAGCCTCAAAAGTCTTAATATTTTGCCATTTTTACACACATTTATTTGTAAAAAAAATGTTATCGAAAATTGTCGGAATATGTTGATTAAATGCAGTGCTGAAAGTACCTGTTGTGTTGCATAACCAGATATCTCAGTCAACAAAATGGACAAATTGACTCGTTTTCCGCTTTCATCAAACTGTATTGATCCTGATTTACCTTTGAATTCGATCTGAAATACATATCGATAAAAATACAGCGGGATATTATTATTGTTTAAAAAAATTGTTCTGGTTACACAATTCAAATTTGTGATAAATATTGACCAGGCTTAACATATTCGATAAGTAATTGATGCGGTTTCTTTACAGATACAATTCAATGGAAATATCGTACTTTGTAAAGTTTGTTATATTTTCTAGACAGTGAGAAAAAATGTGCACATTGACCGCAACTCATTGGAGCCACTTGACTATATTTTTTATCAATTTAGCTATTCGGCTGCTTACAATTTTTTACAATATGATTTTTCATTTTTATACCGAAATACACTTATAAACTATGTTGAAATTCGGCTCGAATGTCTTATTGGTATATAAAACTCTTATTGACTTCGGAGGTACAAACCACCGTAGTCATGGTAGTTTCCGGTTTGATTCGAAATGGATGAGAAAAATTTGCTGCCTTGCTAGTACTCAAACCCGGAACCCACGTAAATTCCATTCTGTGGCTCTATCGACTGAACTTTATGGTTGCTAACTGAATTACTCTCCTTATCAGTAAACAGTTCTATATTTCATCATACCAATACACAACCGAATTTATGAAAGCCAGTTATACATATTATGTATATGGTGCTCATGTGCTATTATCCTAGTCCTTGCATGGTGACAGTAACAAACTGACACAAAATACTCAACAAATAAAATATATCTTACCGATTGCATTCTCTCAAGTAGACTGTTCCTTACAGATTCAGTGCTATTCTTTTCAATTGGTTGAATCACACATTCCTGAAGAATAGCAACTGAATCTCGCGCCAGTGTTTTATTAAAGCTATCCCTGAAATATTGTTCGGATGGAACTGTACTATTGAAGGGCATCATTGTGAACACAGTAAAGTTAACATGAATATCTGGAAAGTTATTCATAATATCTGCTAACTCATCGCCCTGTTTAAATAGAAATCAAAGATAGGAATTATATTTTTCAATAAATAACAATACTAATACTAATGCTTATGCTAATGCTAATAATCATAATAATAATAACAATAATAATAACAACAATAAAAAAATCAAAATATGAAAACAATCATATAGAAAAGATGACTGATAACATTCTAAACACGCCAGATCTTTTTTATACTTTCATTTATTAAATTTTCAATATATTAAAAAACAACAACATTTTTTACCACGTTACGTTAAACTGGCATTTTTATTAGACTTTATGATCATTTTTTTTTATTTAAATCATTTTTGCTCAGTAATAACAAAGTCGTAAGCCGTTTTTCAGCTAAACACTTACAGGATCGTAGAAAAACCACTCATACGGTGTTGAAAGCATTGCAAGTGAACGTGCCTGAAAGCAATGTAAACAACGTACTTTTGTCATTTTATGAAATTAAAATAAATCAATAGCCGAATAAAATGACAATAAACAAGAAAAATAAGTGACAAGTACAATTTACGCTTAAGGCATTTTTGTTTGATTATCAAATAACAGAATAAGGTATTATTAATTCATCATAAATTTAAATTACTAGAAACAAAAGACCAATCGAGCGTTTCAATGACGCAAGCCAGACGTGAAATAAATAAATCAACTCAACTGTCAAAGGCAGAACATTAAACTTATCCGTGCTTTTGTTATAAATCGGGCTGTAATGCATTTATGAAATTGAATGCATTTGTTTACACAGCAAATAGATGCGTACGCTTGTTTGGCGTCGCAATACGCTTGCATTATGGATAGTTTTAACTGTTTTTAAGTAATATAATATTACTACATTTACAACAAAATGTTAATTTGAGCTTTGCAAGGGACAGAGCATCAATTTTACATGGTTTTCTGAAATAAATCATAACGTATTCGTTCCTGCAAGGGCAATGACGATATATATTATCTGATAATCCGACAATGCATTGCAAAGAAATGTCATATTGTTGATAAAAACAAAACAATTTGCAAATAACCAGACTGCAAATAGTGTAAATCAACAAACAAATTTGAATTCCTGAGTCTGTCGTTAAGTATTTTCATGATGAAATAGTTGGAATAAGAACATAATAATAGTAACTGGTATATGATCGTTTTGTAAATATTTGTTTTGATAATCGCGAATTTTCGCAACCTTACTATATTTGCATACGCATACTGTATTATACTTTGTCATTTTTTTCTTGATTGATTTCTTTTGTGGAGAGTGGGGGGGCTCACTGCGCATTTGCATGTTCTGGATGATAATGTTTGTGTTTGTCTTGTTCATGTCTCACTAACTGTATTGAGATGTTGTTTCTTCTATTCCATTCATGGTCACTCGTTTATATAATATGAGAGTTATATAATACGGGTATTAAAGACAGAATAACCAACTATATCGCGCTACCTGCATATGATATGCTGTAATATTATTTTTACAAAACAGACTCGATCATGAACAAGTCTGCCGAGTATTCCTGTCTTGTCCTCCAGCATTTTATCTGTAAAGCAAGCCTAATGATTTGGTAAACTATCTTTAATACAACAAATGTGAAAAGGTGCAAATTAATGTATAATTTTATACCGTTTCAAGCAGGATTTCTACATTCCCTTTCTGGCAGAAGACAATTGATCTTTGCATAAATATTCGGCGCATATGAACAAGATGATCTCGAACTTGCTTTTCATCAGAATTGTGATTTAAACGCCAGGATTTTATTAATAATTCGTGGTCTGTAAGAAGCTTCTCCACTACTGATATCCCTGTATTATTTAAATATATTTATACAATAAATGGTGTAATAATGTTCAAAGTAAAGGCAATAAGCGTAAACTAGACTGTTTTAGGCAAGTTCCATATCTTTAATACAATTAATATTTTGGTATTTTTAGCTACATGCATAGGGTTTATCACTAAACAAAAAATGAAAAACATGTTAGTTTTAAAAACCTTACAATATTTCAGTTACAATATATATTCTGTAGAGGAACATCTTTTTGTAGTGGAGGCAAAAAATTAGTTGTTGCTGCAAGGAATTGCCTAATACATTTATTTAATAGGAATTTATGTTGTTGCTGTTAAAAGGATGTTGCTCTTGAAGGGGCCAACCTGCCTAGATTGCAATATTTATTTGTGTATAATAAATGTTAAGTAGATCAAACAAATGAGGTCCGGTGAAGCAATAAAGAAATACTTTCAAATCCCAATGTGTTGTTAATGAATCAGTTCGTAATCAATAAATTAAATTAATAAATATTAATCGTTTTTAATGATTATTCATACTGCACTTTTTGTATATTGTACCTTGATAAAAATTTATAATAGATATTCAAAAGTTCATTTAATTAAACAGCAGACATGACTGATACGGAACAAATTACAATGCATAATGTATGATTTTCATTTAAGGCTTCAGATTATAATGAAACAAGCAATTATCATAGTATTGCAAGCAATCCATAAGTCCCCTACCGGTAAGAGCCCAAGCAACTTTCTGAAGGGCCATTGTCCATTCACTTAAGTTCCTATTTTAAGTAAATTTGTTAAAAAAGTTATTTAAAAGTAATCACAGGAAACAGTTTTTATGTACAGACAGACAAACTGAAGGACACTCTAAAGTTATTTTTTAAACATCCCTGTTATCAAAATATAACATTTTTAAAATCCTATCATGATTGAAGAAGTTGGAGTAAAAATAACCAATTTCTCAAAAAAAAAGTCTAAGTTCAAAAGGGGCATAATTCTGGAAATAGTCTTGCTAGAGTATTGAACACTCACAAATGTTGAGTGATGATAAGAAACCTTTATATGAAGTTTGAAGAAGATACATTCAAAAAAAGAAGTTATTAAAAAAAAATAAAAAAATGTTTTTTTTCATGAAAATTTTAAGTTCAAGGGAGGTAACAATTCTGATAAATTTTGTGCTAGAAATGTAAACCTTGTCACATATAATGTGGTTGATGACAAGCAACTTATATTTAAAGTTTGAAGAAAATACCTTAAGAAATAAAGAACTTATAGTGAAAAAACTTTAAAAAAAACTAGAATCAGAAATCTTGAAATTCAGTCTATTTGTTGCCATAGCAACCAGAATTTTCAACATAGGAAGATAAGAAAAGAATGTGCATAATTTCCATACTGCCATCTACCCATATGTCAAGTTTCATAAACATATTTTCAGTACTTTTTGTGTTATCAATGGATCCAGGTTATGTGTAAAATTTGCCATATTTTCAGTCTATTTGTTGCCATAGCAACCAGAATTTTCAACATAGGAAGAAAAGAAAAAGATGTGCATAATCTCCATACTGCCATCTATCCATATATCAAGTTTCATAAAAAATTTTCAGTACTTTTTGCGTTATCGCGGGATCCAGGTTATGTGTAAAATTTGCCATATTTTCAGTCTATTTGTTGCCATAGCAACCAGAATTTTCAACATAGGAACAAAAGAAAAGACGTGCATAATCTCCATACCGCCATCTATCCATATATCAAGTTTCATTAAAATATTTTCAGTACTTTTTGCGTTATCGCGGGATCCAGTTTTGTGGACGGACGGACTGACGGACGGACAGACGGACAGACAGACGGACAGACGGACGGAGGGTAAACCTAAAAAAGATTTATTTAGATTTTATTTCTAAATGATTGCTATAAATATGATTTTTGAAATTCAGATGAAGATTTAGTAGGTTTAGTAGGCACATTCTTTAAATAGTTCTGTTTTTTATCATTTTATCCTTCTCACAGTTCAACTACAAACTATAGTACTGCTCGAGAAAGAAAGAAAAAACATATTAAATAACAATTTGATTTTAATGAAATTTGACTAAACATTACTGCATAAAAGGAAAGTGTTGCATTATTAGACTCAAGTGAAAATAGTTAAGCAAAGAGGTAATTTAGTGCAAATCTTACCTTTACTGTCGTCAAAGAAAATGCTAACTTCACTCCAGCCATATCGTTTCACCATGTCAAGTAAAGCTTGACTAAAATCATTTAGTCTTGGTATCATTTGAAATGTTGAATTGGTGAACCTGGTCTTTACTTCTGAAGCCGCTAAGTATGTAATGTTTAGCGACTCTGTGGCTAAAGATATTGGTACATCAAAGGGTCCGACAACAGCATGTATATTGTGGTCTTTAAGGTTTTGTATCGCTAACAAGAGAAATGATTTAGCTTTTACTATGGAATAAGCATTAATTGTATTAACATAGAATAAATATAAGTCCATGATCGCAATAAAACAAAACTATGAAGCAAATGTTGAAGACTTGGACTTGTATTCATATTGTTGAATACTCATAACTGATACAAACTGTGTTACATTAACAATCGGATCCTAAAATGTGATGCATTTCGTCGGCGTTTTCAGGGCTTTATCCTACTTTAGTTATAATAATTTATAAGATAAATTCAAGCATTTATTTTAATTGGATCACTCACTAACTTAACAATAAATCACAGACGTGTTTAACTATAATAATGTTTACTATTCAAAGTTTATGAATTATATTGATGTACAATTATTTGTACGTTTGAAACAGCGCTGTCTGTCAGTCGTTAATCTGTTAACTTAATATGAATATATGGGGCAAGTTTACCTTTCTTTACTTTGTCGTATTCCGATCTAGTCTTGCCGAGGTCGAATGTGTTGAGATTAACAGGAACAGAGCCAAGATGTTTAGATGCCATGATAGGGTTTATAATGTCTTTCCATTGTGGCAAAACAGCTGAAAATAGAAAATTAAAAAGTCTTAGATATAAAAAATAAATCATTTATGCTGTGAAAACATTTTCAAACCAAGTTAATATAAATAATTTGCGCCAGTAGACATAAATACATCAATTTCGGCCATGAAAAGTTATTGTTTATGCTAGCATTATTGTCAATTATACATTTGCATTAAGGAGCAGTTGCAGACATTTGTCAATAAGGTTACAAAGCTTTGGTAATAAAGGAATATTACTACAGTAAAGGATATTGAATAACGGTAATCAGAATATGATGCATTTCACATTAATTTTCCAAACCAAATTTCGATACATTTATGAACCTATAATATTGCATGAAATTCTATTATTTACGGAATATGTTTTGATTATGTTCTCCTTTTGAAAACATTTGTATAATTATACAGCATTGCAAAACAAAATTGTTTTGTTGTTTTCGACTCTGTTTATGCTAATGATAAGAATATTAAAAATAAGTTCACGTCATTCACTGATGATGACTAGTTCGAAAAAGTACATCCGTTGCAATAATAATGTATTACATGTTTTAAAAAACAATATAAACATTGTAAAAATGAATTTTAAACAGATTCGAAGGTTGAAAAAAGAGATAGGGCACGAAAATGGCATAAATAGTACGTATTTTTTTGTTCCCTACGTGTTTTGTATTTGTTGTGTCTACCATCTTATGACATAATTCATCTTTTAATTTGATGAAATAATTTCCAAATGGTTTATGCCTTTGCATGTTGTCTTTAATTTCCCCTTAATAAAACTCAACTTTCAGAATTACAGATTCGACTCGCTGGCACACACATTGATTGTCTTATTTGGAATTATCCTGCGACAATTCACATTTTGGTTCCATTATATTGCGTGCAGAGCAAACTGGAAGCAACCTCGAAGTGCGTTGTTAACGTCAACGCTGATGACTATTTTACAATTAGCCGACTGTGTACCTATGCAAATATTATATCTAATACTATATACGTGTGCCAGTCATGATTCGTCTATAATATTAAACTAAACTGTTACAAATGTTAAGTCTTATTCCTAAATATTGGTATATTTCACTCTAATTTTAAATTAGTGTTTGTATATGGAAATGTAGTAAATACTATTGAATTTGTGGCCTAATTCCAAGCTTTTCTGGGTCAACTCCTGTACTTGTGTCTAATTTAAATTAATCACGAATTAACGGACAGCAAAATCATCTGGTACCCAAACAATGAGATATATCGTTTATGTTCTTGAATTAAAACGTAACTGAAATAAGATGATCCAAACCTTTAATAATTATAGAAATAACCTTAAATTATTTAAAATTAGTAAATAGAACAAAACAAAAACGCTTTTGATATTGACAGTGCATCACGCACATAACACATGACAGAACTTTGTTTAATAAACAAATAACACAAATGAATAAAACGTCTTGCCTTCTATTCAATTGGTTCTTTCCGTATTAGGTGCATTATGTCTAAGTAACAGTCAATCTCATTTTCACAACAAAGAGAAGTGTTGCTAAAAAACAACAATATGCTGCCCAACCATTATTTGCCTCGTTTAAGAATATCAGAAAATCTGTCGACTTCAGTAGACCAGTTTTTTCTTTAAATAAGATCGGTAGAACCGTTTCACTATTCTTACAACAAACAAAGAACAAACATTCATTCATTATGTCATATTACATACAATAATTATTTGAATTGTTTCGTTGCAATTTTGAGAACAATTCCGGTTGCTAGCTTGTAATGTAAAAATTGTTCTGATATCTTTCCGCTTTTCCGCAAAATATATTTTTATAGCGTCAAACCTAACATAATAATCTATAGGTTATCATTAGTTCATGACTTTATTTCGGTACTTAGGGAATAAATAAATTTCATTACAAGTCTGGAGGATGGTCAATGAAAAATGAAAATGATTTGATTTTTTATCACCATAGGGATATTAAGACAACTCATTGCACTTTCTACCTAGTTATCACATATTGTTGTTTCATGAGTGTTCAGATTGATTGATTAATTGAAACTTGACAATCGTCAGTATGTTGACGATCTTCTTACTATGTCATGGGAAATATTGGACTGCACGGTTAATATGTACTTTCAAATTAGTGTAGTCAAAGAAACCGTTTAGCTATCCGTTTGATGTTGCCTTAGACAAAGCAGAAAATCTTGTCAGTTACGATTTCGGGTAGGGTATTGTGGTTTTTCTTTAACATTAAGGCAATACGTATCACTTATATGAAATAAACTACATCATTCTGTGCAGTGAAAATGTTCCGACTGAATTCGTCATAAAACAAGCTAAACTTATTCCAGTATAAATATGAGGTAAAATAAGATGATTTAGGAAGTAATTATTGATTAAGGTTGTATACGTAATATCTGAAATCAAGAGCTGTGATATGTTAACATTTGCATATCGGGATAACTTAATTAATATTTATTACTTTTTAGTTATTTAACTGGCAAGGAAAATACGATTATCATAACCATAACATTGTGATATCATTAAAAATCAGAAAGTAACATCTGTTTAAGTGTGTCGCAGTCAGAATCAATGTCTACTGGTCGTCCTTCTCAAAATATGATAGCATAGATATTATAAGTAATGTGTACTAATTTTGTTTGACAGATTAATTACGTATAATACTTGCATATCAATTTTTCTAGGATAAGTAACTAAGCCATTTAAACAATATAGTTGAAATATATACGCTGCAGGTGTGCAGTATGAAACAAATATCAATATTTCAGTTTAATCATAGAAGTCCATGCCATTTTAACAGGGCAGTATATAACGGTATTTTTATGATGTGTATGATACAAATTTTAAAGATTAATCTTTACAAAAACGTTAAGGTACTATTGACCTAGCATTATTAGTTGTAGTCAATGTTAAGTGAATATAGTTCCATTACAATATATCAGTTTTTTTGCTGTTTGTTTAGTTTGATAGATTGTTCGTCAACATGTCATCAAAAGCAGTATTTATCATTGAGGATAGCTTCATATTGATCTATGAATCACGTCCGACATATGATAGCCTTAATGGACATGCCGACCTTTTAATAATTATATAAACAAAGCTCGATTCCTTAACAATAGTAACTTCAGATTGGTCTGTAAATATGACTACGTTGAAAGCGAAATAGTTATTATGAAAGTAAATATACTTTTCATAACCGTTAAAGTAAATATATCAATTGACGGTCAGTTTTATGAAGCTTTCAGAACCTGGAGTACCTAATATACATTAATAAAGGAAGCATAGTCTCGCTATTTGAAAGACATAACGCTTAGTTTTTCGCTGTGTGCATGATTATGTTGTCTGAGAGACATTGACTGTTGAAAACGCGCTTTCATCCACAGAAGCTAAAAAGTGCAAGTCTTTTAGATGGTATTTCAAAAAATTAATAAGTAAATAAATAAATATGAAGTATATGAAATTATGTCCTCTTATTTACTTTACATTTTTGTTTTGACCCTTACCATTGGAACATATATTTAATGATCCATCATTTAATCTGGACAAGACCATTCATCATTTTTTTGGAAACAAATAGACAAAAAAATGTAATGACTGAATTAGGAACACATAATTCCATGACTGGACTGCATTAATGTGATGACTTATTCTGTCATACACAGGTCACATGGTTAAATTGTGAAGCGCCAACCGGCTTTGTGTAAAACTGCAGAAGTTTTCACGCGGGACCACTTACAAATAGCACCATCAAACTACCGATGTTATTAATTGACCCATGCTTTGAATATATTTGATTAAAAACAAGCGCAATAATTACGAAGAGGTTTTCAGCAGTCCATGTGTTATTTTCCGCACATAAAATGCTCCTGTTTTCTATTGGGTCCGCAATCAATTAAATAAATCCAAAAAATTAAGCGTCCTTTATGTATCAAAGGTCATGCATGTCTCAGCTGTTTCAATATCTAGATGAAATGATAGTACACAATAAGCAGCTTGCAAAGTACGTATTGCACATGTTGTAAAAAGGAGATGCACTTGAAATGACAATTCATCGTAAAGTATCAGTGTAGATTTATAAATAACTAGAACAAATACAAGAACATTTCAATATTGACTAAAATCAAAATTTATATTGAAATAGATAAATTATAATATATTAATATAAATTTAAATACTAAGTCGTATTTAAGATTGTAGTTTCAATAATTTACTACTAGTCCCATTAACATTTGTATTTACGCTATCGGAATTGCCAAGTACTTACAAATTAAATCATTTTGTGTAGACATATTCTTATTGATGTTTTATATTTATGTAAAGGTGCAACTGTTTCAAACTGTAAAGTGCAAATGAAGTCAATTCAAGCAATCTGTAACATAGAACATATTTAGATACAAATGCCAAAAGGTTTTGCGGTTGTTACGAAATATAAAGTGAAAGCAGACTTATATAAATTTCTTATTACAATGTTGATAGAAATAGAAGAAATTGTGCCTCAAGTTATGGTTTCATTACTCTAACAGTTTTTTTGTAAATATAAAATCCTTTTCCGCTATAGTATAAAGACAGTTTCAATCTTGAGATAGACAATCCAATCTTAATAATTCGTTATTTCTTAGCGTTTGTTAGTTCATTATGTACTCTAAATTATTTTTCTAATTTTATTTTTCAGTCAAGGCTTGTCATAGAAACCATCATGTTGGTTAATTGCTATGTTGAAAAACAAACAAACAAACAGACAAACAAAAGCTGATATGTATCCAGCCTTTTAGAGATACAACAACACTTGTCAAAGCTGTTTAAAACACATAGAGCGCGTGCCTGCGTATGGTTTGTTGTTTGATTTTTATCTCTGTTTCGGCTTTACTTTTTACTTAATCAGCAAATATCAAAAATATTTCAGACCTATCCACGTAAAGTTGACTAAGAAAATATTGAGAACTATTGTGTTAACTGCACATGTGTAAATTATATTTTATAGAAGGGACCTCGTTTTTTTTTA